ACTTTTTTTAGATCTTTTAAAAGGGAACAATTTTCTCATACATTGCTTTAGCGAAACTTTAATCGTTTCCGCAGCGCACGCAGTGGAAGCTCTCAAAAGGGAAATAAACCCGATTTTGAGACATTATTTATTGGTGCTCCGCTTGCATTGGTCTTAACGTGATATTATATAGCCTTCCTCGATAAATGAGCTATCTAAAACTGAAATAATTTTTCAAATCGGACCAGTAGTTACTGAGATTACCGCGTTCAAACAAACAAACTCTTCAGCTTTATAAAATTAGTATAGATTTCCGTCCCAACAACCACCTTTCTGTTTACTGTTCTCATATAAAATTATAACAATTGACTTCATTAGGGCACGTCGGTTGGGGTATATCCTGGTACATCAATGGTTTGCTGATCCCGGAAATTAATGTGGTGAGAGGCAAGCAGTACACATTCGTTGTCGAAGGAGGCTCTAACCCTGAGATACCGGCCAAATACCATCCGTTCTACATCACTAACGATCCTGTTGGAGGCTACTATCACAAGTCTGAGGAGGAGAGGAAGGTGAGGTCTTAACTATAAAGGGTTCCGTTGTTCCCTCCAGTCGCATTTTTCGTATGCTTGCATTGTATTGAGTTCCAGACAGTAACGAAGCATTGTACAAAGAGATAGTATTGGATACAATTAGTTAACGAATCTTTTTATGGTAATCCAAAATAGAAGTAGGAAGCACACATTAAGTCACACTGCAAGTCTGTAATTTAAGGCATCACTGAGTTATTAAAGTTTGAACAGTTATTGTTTGATCAGTTGTTTGAAACTAGGATTTTAGCTAGCGGAAGTTAATATTATGATAATATTCATAATTTAAATTTTAGTAGGTTCTCACAGAATCACAGCGATCAACATTTATCATGTCAATATCAGGCAATAAAAGGCCTAAACTATTGCAGGGAATCCAAATATACGCCGGTGCTCGTCGTCTGCGAAGTGGAGAGGTCACACCAACAGGAGTTGGACGTATTTGCAACTGGACGCCAGATAGCCAAGGACCAGAAGCTGATGAATACCCAAGCTTCGGAGCCTATCAGCGTTCTCTGACCCTGGTCTGTGAGACAGGCGATCCGGGAGTGGTCACCTGGACTCCCGACAGGAACACTCCAGACACTGTCTACTACCAGGTAAGTTTGTGGCGGAAGGACTGTGGTTCAGACCAAACAATAGGACGTTCGAAATATGTACAGAAATAAATGTCAGGTTGTTCGGTGCTGTAGCCAGTTTTATTTCTTGCTTAGATGGGTGGATGAGCTCACAGCCCACTTGGTGTTAAGTGGTTATTGGAGCCCATAGACATCTACAACGTAAATGCGCTACCCACCTTGAGACCAACCTCGACAACAACCACACCAACAACGGCTGCCCCACCCTTCAAACCGAAACGCATTATTGCTTCACGGCAGATATAGGCAGGCTGGTGGTACCTACCCCTGCGGACTCACAAGAGGTCCTATCACCAGTACACTGTAAACAGTACAACGGTACCACGGCACAATAGCTATCTATGCAATCGATATGTACTTCTAATTTTATTAGCTTTCATCTTGTTTTAAACATTTTCATTTATGATCGAATGTGATCGCTGCATACTGTGTATAAAGTCAACCAACTATGACTCGTTGACTGAAAGCTGCTCTATCCTCATATCTTATTCCTAACGATATATTATTAATTATTTAATATTTTATAATTGCCGTATCATAACATTGTCTGGCATTTTTTCTACGAGGCCCTCTACACCTCGCGGTCGTCGGTATATTGTATTTGTTTTATTGACATTGGTATTCTTTACCTTCATCCCGTCAGTACTCGGTTCAATTAGCCTTGTCTCTATAAAATGAATATGATACGACATATGACTATATCTATCTTATCGCTCACCCTGTATATACATATGTACATATATATATGTATATGTATGCATGTATTTACACATACATCTCTCATCTTTTTTCTGTTTCAGCCTTCCAAGCCTTCTAGGTGCATGAGCTAGCAGGGTTATCTGTATTATAATGGACGGTGATAGTTTTGTTTGTTTAAAAATGCAAAACATTTACTTAATATAATTTCCCGTGTTACAGTGCTTCACCCACCGACATCTCGGGTGGAAGATTAATGTGCTAGACGAGTGTGACGTCGAAGAGGCTGAGGAGAGCCGCGTTGTTGAGTCCTTAGCGCTCCCTGATGACCTGCAGAGTCAGGAATCTATACAGGTACAGAGTAGGGTCGCACCCGACGGCAATATCTTAGATCAGCGAAAAAAATTAGAAAAAATAATGCATACGAAAATGAATTATAACGATTTCAGTAGTTATAAAGATGGCGAGCTCACGGGAGAAGTGTACAGGGATGATAGACACCGGTATAAAAACGGACAAGAGTATGAATTGCCGATCAGCAACAATCAAATCAAAGAGGTTATACAAACAGTAGAGAGCCTCGAGAGTAAAATGAAGGATGAGATCAAAAAGAACGTGACGCACCCGCAGCAAGTGCACCAGTACCAGGTACACGAGAACGTCAAGGAGATGTTCATGCCCGAGCTACCTATAAGAGAGGAAGATGAATATTTCGTTGAGGCTGGGAAAGCCCCTCAAAACTATTTACTTCCGCCAAACCAAAAACCGCTTACTTTACAAAGTGTCTTAAGACCAACAGGACTTAATAGAGTAGTTGGAAACATGAGACCACATTTTAGAAGGCCAGCTCCTCCGGAAATCAAACTACGTCGACCGCCTCCTATGCATCACAAAGTCAATCCTTATCCATTACCAATGCCAAATCCTCANGCTGGGAAAGCCCCTCAAAACTATTTACTTCCGCCAAACCAAAAACCGCTTACTTTACAAAGTGTCTTAAGACCAACAGGACTTAATAGAGTAGTTGGAAACATGAGACCACATTTTAGAAGGCCAGCTCCTCCGGAAATCAAACTACGTCGACCGCCTCCTATGCATCACAAAGTCAATCCTTATCCATTACCAATGCCAAATCCTCACAATTCACATGGAATGAAGAAGCCAAGTCCATCTGCACAGCCAAACTATAAGCAGCCGAATAATAGGCCTATGCCGTTAAATAGACCTCTGCTCCCTAATGTACCGCCGATGAAGACATTTTCACCACCTCATATTAATAAACCTACGTTCGGTCAGATACACCAGCATCTGCTCAAGAATGACCCTAATCCGACGCAGCAGACTCCTTTATCTATTATTACGGCTAACAATAAACACGGTCCAAATAATATGCACTTGCCAGTGCAAACTTTGAGTGTAGGGCAAAGTGATATTATTGTTAACCAAGTGGTCAAAAGTCAAATCACTCTACCCGGCAGTAATGACGCGATTGCTCAACATAGCATACCACAACCGTATCACAAATCCGGTCAAATAATTTTGGGGAAGCCTATGGAACACCCTGTTCCTTTAGACCAACAAATGATTCAAACCAAACCACACGTCACAAGGAGACCTTCAACACCACAGCCCCAGTTCTTTCAAACTTCTAATCCACGCGTCAAACTAGAAAATGAATTGCTTCCACAAAACGTTATGAAGTCTTCGGATTTTATTGGAGAATCTGTTGACTCTTCTACTCTACCTCCGGCTATGAATACTGGATTCAAACCTGATTCTATTGTTGTTGAAAGTGGATTCAAACCAATAATTCGGGAACCGTTAATGGCGGGCGAAGATAGAATAGCAGAATATGATGGTAATTCAAACAGAAGAGAAGACACGAATGTCGAAGAAGATTATGAAGAATCGCCACAGCCTGTTGCAAATCATAAAGTACCTAGTGAAAAAATGACTGAAACATTCGAGCCAATGTTCATTCCTTCACCTCCAGACCATCTCCTCCCCACTAACGATCGGACCAAAGAAGTGTTTCCGAAAAACCACGCTAAAGAAGATAGACCTCATCCTGTCTACGTCAAAAAAGAAAGTGAACTGAATGCACTGTTCGGTAAGAAGAATATGGCAAAAGATGTACCCACAGATATGGTTATGGAATCGAATCGAGTGAGCCCGCACTATTTACCACCAGATCCAAAATTACCAAAAGAGCACTCCCAAAAATTATCAATGAACGAACAGACATTTACTACGTATGATGGTAAGACAGTTTCCGCAGATACTTTAACTAGTGTTCCAAATCTCAATAAAACAACGACGAAATTCTCGGCTAAGCTGCCTGCAAATAGTGAACTACTTTTAAAAACCCCACAATTCGGTCCATTCAAAGGAGAAATCCCACCACCGGTTGCTGCAGATATCATCAAAAGCTCAAGTTCAAATTTTAAGAGTGGTTCATCAGATGATGTTAAAACAACTCATTTAAAACTTGTCAATCTACATAAACCTGAGAAATCCGACGTCGAAGACTTAGTAGCACATGGGAGTGAGAAACATGAAGTTACAGAAGATGGAGAAGAGTTTGAAGAAGAAGAAGAATACGAAGACGAAGAGGACGAGAAGAGAAGCAAACGAGATACAAAGGCGACTCACTTCGAGAAAGGTCAAGCTGTGGAACAAAAGCCAACGAACGGTCACAGTTTACCTATGAACCAAATAGACTATGAGAGTGTTCCTTCATCGGGGTACAAAATGAGACTGCAATGTATCAGTATACTCGTAGTATTAATAGCGACGCGGATTATACGCTTTTAGATTGTTACTTAATAAACTATTTATTCACTTAAATTAAGCCTTGCCATTACATGCATTTGAACTTCTGACTGAGGGTTTTGGCTGTGGGACGCGATTCAAGCGACTTTATATTTTCTAGCACCGCGTTATTAAGTGGCTTTCTTATATTAAATGAAAACTAAAGCAAACCCGTTACCACTATAGCACGCACCGTGCAATTCAATACTCTGTTAGTTTTTAATTTTATTTTGTTGTAAATATTTTTAGATTTAAATAAACTTAGTTTTATTTAATTGGTATATTTATTGTATTTTCATTTTAATTATCCCTGATAATCACATATAATACAAGCATATTTACTTTAGTATATACATACATAGGCTTAGAGGTAGTCAGCTCTTTTTCTGGGTTGTTTCAATTGTCCATGTTCACAGTAGAGGTCTATATTGCTACTTCGTAAACTTCAGCTGTCCCCCTTGAATTACGATGGAATTATCGCTTATGTAATGAGATTATGGAATGTAAAAGTTGACTCAAGTCAAGATTCTTCAGAAACTCCACACTTTCACCTTTTAGTAACTTTCCTGTGAAACTTTGTTCAAAGCAACTTGAGCATCGAGTGGATGCTGTAAACTTTTTTTGTGAGTCTAGTGAAGTTCGCCTGCGCCTTCTCGTGAGGATAGTTGCAATCTACGAGACGCAAGATGGAATCTCGATTTTGACCACTAAAAATGTAGAAGAAAAGTGTAAATGTACGCATGATTCAAATGTTTGATAGTTTTTGAAACAAAGAAAACATGCACCAGAAAAAAAAACCTAAGAAATTATTATAAATTCAAGTTGATTAATTTAATTTAACGACTTGCACAACATTAAGAGAAAGCTTAAGTTCACACGTTAGTAATTATACTTATTTGACGCAGTTGCTATACACAATAACTCACGTTCACACTTGTTCAAATATAATCTTACTCGTAAATAATACTTTAGTATAGCCACAATCTGGATACAAAATCTTTAAAATAAAAATAATTAAAATATGTCGCGTGTTCGATTATCACGCTCTGTTCTAACCGCCGGCGCCGCTTTCAGCAGAAGTACAGAAGTAGCTTTAAAATATATACGGAAGATTGATTAAATTTCTCATATAATGTCCGTCTCTTTCTTTTCCCCGAAACTAAAACTTACTATCTGTTCTTGAGTATTTTAGCGACGGAGGCGAGAGGTAGTCCGGCTCTGTCCTTCAGATTAACATCACTGCCGCGCGCCACCAGTTCTTCGATGACGCTAGATTTGGCTCCTTGACATACTGAAATGAGACATCATTTTTGAAGTGAATCTGAATGCGAAATCAGAAGTTTCATATTTCCACTATGCACTTATACATATAACTAGCGATCCGCCCTCGCTTCGCTTCGGAAACATTAAACTTTATTATTGATAGCTGAGTCCCGCGATGCTACCCGCAGTTATTGTCGTACCGCGGGTGGTGCCGTGGGGCGAAGCTAGTCTAAAAAAAGTAGCCTAAGTTACTCCTTATATCATCAGCTACCTATCAGTGAAAGTCTCGTCAAAATCGGTCCAGCCGTTGCAATTATTAGCCGGAACAAACAGACAGACAGACAGACAAAAATTGTAAAAAATGTTATTTTGGTGTATGTACCGTATATATATATATTCATATGCATGTAGTAAAAAGCGGTTATTTCAATATTACAAATATACACTCCAATTTTATTTATATGTACAGATAACGTTACGTAATTACTTGACTGAGGCACCACATTTTCTAGAATCAGTTACTATATGTACACTATTGAATTATACGTTAGTCTACATGTATGTAATAATGTTTGTGTGTCCTGGGTATTCATGTGTGTTTGCTGCGGTGCTCGCTATCCGGAGACACAATTAAAACTACTTGTACGGTTTGATCCACGCCAGTAACGTATGCCGACTGTTTTACAATAACTCACTAACACGCTCTAAAAAGCGGGGTCCAGCCATTGTTGTCCTCAACGGAGACATCACCTCCTTTGTCGAAGACATATCTGATCATACCCAGATCACACGAGTCGACTGCGTAGTGTTCTATGCGCCTCCCATTCCAGTCTCGAGCCTGAAAACACTTAACCTGAAGTATCAAACACTCTTAGTTGTTGTAGAGGCACCGTAGCTGTACCCACTAGTCATATTTTTGTAGGTTTGATTTCAAAACCCAAATTGGCACGTTACAACGTTATGTTTCAGGAAAATTTAAATTTTGATTTGTCTATCGCAGGGGTGGTTCCCAAACTTATTTTTTCTGCTGTTCACTTTGAGAATAAATTATTTGTCAGCGCCCCTATTTTTTCACCTACTTAAAAATCACCATAGCGAGAGCTCAGTCGATGTCCTCCTAGATGAAATTACAAATCACCTCCTAAGCTTCTACACAACGCCCCCTTTTTTTTGAGTCTCTTACCGCCCCCCCCTTTAGGCCTGCAGCGCCCACAAGGGGGCGTTATCGCCCACTTTGAGAAATGCTGGTCTATCGGCTCAGGTAATTGCCAAACGCCTTCTTCATCATGAGCTTGCGTATCTGTCTACACTTCAATAATTATTTAAGCTTTCTTACATGAAAATCAGCCCCTCTATCAATAAGCAGTTCAGTGAGCTCTACGTTCCCCGCGAGCACAGCGAGGTGGAGAGGGGTCAGACCTGCGGCCGAGGGTTGCTCTAGATCAGCACCAGACAATAGAAGCAGGCGGATCGTGTTTATATCTCCTGAAACATATTAAAATATTAGGCTATATTATATTAATTGCTTTACAGAAAGTTAAAGTCATTGCTTTATAAGTATTGATGTTTCTTCTTCTTCCTAGCGTTTTCCTGGTCTAGTGCCAAGATCCGCTTTACTANGGGTCAGACCTGCGGCCGAGGGTTGCTCTAGATCAGCACCAGACAATAGAAGCAGGCGGATCGTGTTTATATCTCCTGAAACATATTAAAATATTAGGCTATATTATATTAATTGCTTTACAGAAAGTTAAAGTCATTGCTTTATAAGTATTGATGTTTCTTCTTCTTCCTAGCGTTTTCCTGGTCTAGTGCCAAGATCCGCTTTACTACTTAAACTTTGCCACTTATAAATATTTTTTATTTCTATTATTTAAAACATGCACCCAGGGTATCAATGCATTTCTGCCTGCCTTGTGATATTTTCTGTGTGTTGTTAAGCAATGCCAGGCATACCCCAATGCGTTATCGTGCGGCACCCACTTATCAAGTTTTTGCCGTGCCAATTTGATAGAGCTGAACCAATATTGTTACACTGCTAACAGTAGATTGTGTATCGTCAGCTCCTGCACCATTGTCGACGTATTCGTCGTTTTGACTTTAGTATCTGGGCGCCCACACTGCATTTTCTAGATCATAGCTTTCTAATTCAGAAGTGTGAACACTAACGACGAGTCGTACGTTCTTTTGAGACGGAACTGTTATTCCACAATTACTCGTATTTTTATCGTGTCCATGTCGACGAAAGGAATATAAATCCAATGAAAACAAAACACTTATCAACAAGTAAGAGAATTAATTAAAAAAAAAATCCATATTTTTAAATTAAATTCATTTGAATTTAGTAGTAGTTTCATTGCTCGACAAACATAAATGACGTTTCAATTGGCCAGAATTGTAAAGCGGCCAGTTTATTGGTAACGATTTATTATTTTATGAACATAAACTCATACTAGGAAAGTTAGCCTTACTAATATTATAAAGAGGAAAGATTTGTTTGTATTGAATAGGCTCCGAAACCACTGAACCGATTTGAAAAATTCTTTCACTATTTGGAAGCTACACTATCTCCGAGTGACATAGGCTATATTCTTTTTTACCAAAATTAGGAATCCTTACTAAAACTCCAACCAATAACGTAACCCAAGGTGTACAAAAACTACCTAAAATATACTTTAGATCGCGTGCGCTGCGAAAACTATTGATGATAGAATAAAATAATGTACAAAATTGTAGAACACATTATTATTTACAAAAAGTGTCGCGACAGCATATGTCTAAACTATAATAATTATGCACAATAGGTATTTTATAAAACAAAACAAAGTCAAATATCGTTTACAGGGAAGCCCTGACTCAATTTGCTCAATGGCTTTTGTTTTGTTGTTAAAGAGTTTGTTAAAGACCCGAGCGAAGCCGGAGCGAACTGCTAGTCGTTCATAAAGGAAGAATACTTAAAAAACCTGGTGGTGGGAGAAATCTTTAGTTGATTTTAATTTATGGAATTTTCCGGCTGTGGTTCCGCTGGCATGTACTACAATTCATATGGACTCGGCACAGGCCCCTGCTAAGCGGTGGAATGAAAGGTAGCTTGCAATATTTCCTCGGGTACAAACTAATATTACACCCTGTATTACCAAATTTCTTCGTTAGGCCAAGGCAACTTAATATATAGAAAGCTGCTACTACTTCTTTACTGGTGGTAGGAACTCTTGTGAGTCCGCACGGGTAGGTACCACCACCCTGCCTATTTCTGCCGTGAAGCAGTAATGCGTTTTGGTTTGAAGGGTGGGGTAGCCGTTGTAACTATACTGAGACGTGTGTGGCGCATTTACGTCGTAGATGTCAATGGGCTCCAGTAACCACTTAACACCAGGTGGGCTGTGAGCTCGTCCAACCATCTAAGCAATAAAAAAAAGTACCTATATACATAATAGTTACCTTGTCTGACAGCAGTAGCTAGCGGAGTATATCCATTATTAGAGTTGACAATGTTAATGAGACCGGGCCGCTCCTCCAACATACTTTGCACCTGGGCCATCAAGTTACATTTTATGTTAAACAGATTATGATCGGGCAAAGCCACGAAAACATTAAAAGTTAAATATCAGAAACCAATTTATGTTGCGCCAATTCGGTTGCATTTCATATTTGAAAATCATCGCAGAGATACGATGGTGGTATTACAGTTCGCTGTAATCAAACACAGGTTTTTTTTTAATGCTTACATGGGTGGACGAGCTCACAGCCCACCTGGTGTTAAGTGGTTACTGGAGCCAATAGACATCCACAGCGTAAATGCGCCACCCACCTTGAGATATAAGTTCTAAGGTCTCAAGTATAGTTACAACGGCTGCCCCACCCTTCAAACCGAAACGCGTTACTGCTTCACGGTAGAAATAGGCAGGGCGGTGGTACCTACCCGCGCGGACTCACAACAGGTCCTAGCACCAGTAACTACGCAAATTATAAATATGCGGATTTCATGGGGCAGGAGATGTTCATTCATCTATCGTCCGCCTGTTTCTGTCGCAAAAGACTCCGACGTTCTACTTTTTATTAAGATTTTGACCTCATATTCTAAGGTGGATATTTGACCTTGAGATATACGTCACGTTCGGTAAGTACTTGAGCCCATTTACGAATATGGGAATAAACTTTTTAGTTGGGTCAACAAACAAAGTCTGTTTTTCTTCATATGAGGCTTAACGAGACTAGTTTGAAGAGGGCAACGCATGGAAGCCTGTTCCTAGGGTTGGCAGAGCCACTAAGACGCGGTGACAGAAATAATGGTAAATAAAATTAAATAATAGCATTCCATGAGAACAATTAGAGCTCTTGCGTCTCTTCTCTTCATCATAAAGTCATCACCTGTTTCAAGTACCCGCATCTGACGGCCATCGCAAAGCAGACGGCAGACGTGCCGTCGGTGTCCGTGTTCGTCCAGGTTTCATCTGACCACTGCGACTCCAGCCACTTCATCTTCAAATTGTTCATGCTCAAAGTTATAAAAGAGTTTATGTTAGTGATGGGCTCCGTGGCTCAATTCAGTAATTAAAAATTTCGGAATCGTCGTAGCCTAAAGGATAAGACGTCCAGTGCATTCGTATCTAGCGATACACCGGTGTTCGAATCCCGCAGGCGGGTACCAATTTTTCTAATGAAATACGCACCGTATTTAACAAATGTTCACGATTGTCTTCCGCGGTGAAGGAATAACATGGTGTAATAAAAATCAAACCCCCAAAATTATAATTTGCGTAATTACTGGTGGTAGGACCTCTTTTGAGTCCGCTCGGTTAGGTACCACCGCCCTGCCTATTTCTGCCGTGAAGCAGTAATGCGTTTCGGTTTGAAGGGTGTGGCAGTCGCTGTAACTATACTGAGACCTCAGAACTTATATCTCAAGGTGGGTGGCGCATTTAAGTTGTGGATGTCTATAGGCTCCAGTAACCACTTAACACCAGGTGGGCTGTGAGCTCGTCCATTCATCTAAGCAATAAAAAAAAAACATTAAATCAATAAAGAAAACATTACACACACTACATACCATGTATTTGACGCACACACGCATGCATACTATTTATTGTCAAACTTTTGTTCTTGACGTCTGTTGTCAAATTGAGAATAGATTAAATTGAATATTGTTTGTCTTTGTTTATATTTTTCATAGTGTAGTCTTGGCGAAATTTGTGATTATAGAAGTATAAAATACAATCATCTCTATCTTTTAAGCATTATTTAAAAAAATATTAGCATTGTGCACTTCTTCTCTATATTCTCTATGAGTGTGGAAATTTTCATACTCCTCCGTCCGCGCAATTTTCGTAAAAAGGAATACAAAGTTTTTGCTTCACGTATTAATATATAGATAATACCGGGTTGGTTAGCATCATAAATTAGATGAAAGCTACTGCCTACCTTTGGACATAAGGTCGAAATCTAAATTTGGATGATATAACAATTTTTTATTTTTCTAATGAAATACGTACTCAACAAATGTTCACGATTGATTTCCACGGTGAAGGAATAACATCGTGTAATAAAAATGAAACCCGCAAAATTATAATTTGCGTAATTACTGGTGGTAGGACCTCTTGTGAGTCCGCACGGGTAGGTACCACCACCCTGCCTATTTCTGCCGTGAAGTAGTAATGCGTTTCGGTTTGAAGGGTGGGGCAGCCGTTGTAACTATAATTAAGACCTTAGAACTTATATCTCAAGGTGGGTGGCGGATTTACGTTGTAGATGTCTATGGGCTCCAGTAACCACTTAACACCAGGTGGGCTGTGAGCTCGTCCACTCATCTAAGCAATAAAAAAAAAATAAAAAAAAATAACGGCTACTTTATGATCAACCCTCGAACTGGACCGAACGCGGCAGAAATAGGCAGCGTGGAGATACTTACCCGTTACTTGCGCGTTTCTAATTCGTCCCACGAGTCAACTTACGGTACCATTCATTCATACAGTGCTTTATTTCCATAAAATTCAGCTTTCTCACCTTTCTTCTTCTCTCACTCTATCACCGTTTGCATTTGAAGAGCCTGCTTTAGCAATTTCGACTTTACCGTTCTTCATATCTTCCTCATTAGTGGAATCAATATTATTTCTCATATCAAAACCCTCTTGGTAAGTGTTGACTCCATTTTCAATGTGTTTATGGCAATGCTCATAAATGGCCTGTTCGTTGACAAAATGTTCGAGTGCTTTCTCAGCCAAACTTGGTACTGTTTCTGTTTTAATTATAACTTTTATTCTAAACTTATGATAATGTCTTGGAGCCAAGTTCTCTATAATTTTGGTTGATTTACCGCCGCTGAGGAAAAGGATTACAAAAGTTATTTGTAGTAATTAGTGGTTAGTATTAGCGCTGTGTACCACCGCCACTACAGTCGCAGTTGGTTTTATTTTTGCAACCAGTTCAACAATTTAGCGATCCGGCGATATCAATTGGGGCTATTTTACACCGGTTAACCTGAATAAATATAATACAGTTGTCTTAACTTTGTTGCACAAGCTACTAATTTTGAGGTAACTAGTTACCATATAATAGGTTGGGGAAAAAGAGTCTTCGCATTTTTTAAGAAAATTCACAACATTTTTTAATATAGTTTATTTACCTTTAACTAAAGTATGTACTCATTTTGACAGTACGAAAAAGAAATAAAAATCAAACATTTCCCTAATTTGAATTTGGAATAATCTTCTTTAAAATTTAAACTTTTAATGATACCAAAACCAGCCAGATACAAATAGTATAGCCAAAGAGATTTTATTACAAGTTCATACATACTGTAATGCGAAAAGACTTTTTTCCCAACCTATTAATTCAAGACTTCTTACGGATGGCCAAAAATAGTAGCACCTTAGCTCAAAATAATTCTCTATATTAAATGAACCTGTACACAACAGTCCATTTCGGGATCTTGTTATTCTTTTCCACTCTGTAGAGGAAATATTTAGTCAGAAATTGGAATGGTTCGAGCTTGTCCCAGCACAGTGTAATATCGCCCTTGCTTCTGTTCAGTACTTCTGGCGCTGGTGGCTTCCAGCTCGTGAACTGTTGTATCAGATAGTGTTGAAGAGACATCTGTGAACTGAATGAAATTAAGATAAATATACGTTATTATCTCTATATATAAAAATGAATTGCTGTTCGTTAGTCGCGCTAAAACTCGAGAACGGCTGGACCGATTTGGCTAATTTTGGTCTTGAATTATTTGTGGAACTCCAGAGAAGGTTTAAAAGGTAGATAAACATGAAAATGCTTGGAATTAAATAAAATTAACAATTTTGTTTTTCCTTTGATGTCCCCGCCGTCGGACGGATTCCTTTTGATTCTTTTAAATTTATTTTATACAAAAGTTTAGGTCTTTTATTTATAGTCCGCTGGGTCAGTTAGTATGTAATAAAAATATACATTACGAGGCGATTGAGATTGTGTTGTTTATGAGTTCAGTAACTATTTAAGATCTACTTAAAATCAAACTTCATCTATTAAAAATTATACTTTGTTTGTTTCCTAATGAAACAATTGAGACATCCAAGGCCACACCAGGCAAATTGAGTCAATCATAAATAGATTTTGCTTTCGGTTAAAGTTACGTACTTGTGTTTGGAATCGACGCGCAATCTTGTTGCAATTGAAGTCTATCCGCCGACAGCCAACACTGAGCCGATGCTGAGCCGATACTAAATGATTAATAATTCACAGAACTTGTTAATTGTTCGTAAGTTCTCTCTCTCAGTGTACGATGTGAATTCGCAGAGATGTTAGATCAATACTTAGTTGTTATCTGTTGCTTAGATATTGTGTACCAGTGTTTGAACATGCGTAAACCTTAAGTTATCAGAAGACTATTTATTTAATATTATTATTCAATTGTGTTAGGGACCTGAGTGAGGCGGTGGCTACGTTTTTTTTTAATTGCTTATATGTGTAGTCGAGCTTACAGCCCACCTGGTGTTAAGTGGTTACTGGAGCTCATGGACGTCTACAACGTAAATGCCCCACCCACCTTGAGATATAAGTTCTAAGATCTCAATATAGTTACAACGGCTGCCTCACCCTTCAAACCGAAACGCATTACCTACTAACTGCTTCACGGCAGAAATAGGCAGGGCGTGCTACGTGCTCGAATCCCGATCGAAATGAGGGTCCTCGTTGAAGAAATTCAGCATTAAGCTTCTGATATTCCTAGTTCTTGTCTCGAAGATTGCCGACGCTCATTACACAGAAGAGAACCTTGGGTTATTGCCTCTGATATTATGATTATTTACTATTTCTTGAATGTCAGAAGGAAATCTCCCTTAATCGGTAACGCAGGTCTTTATTTCCGCGAGCCGCTGCTGTTTCTAGCTCTCTAGATCATGAGCTTGCCCACCGCCCGGCGAGCCCACGAAAGCTAAAATATAAAATTATATCAAAATAACAATTTTGCATGATTTTTTGCATTTCGAATAACCGAATGATGTTTTTGCCGCCCGCACAGTACGCATACGAAATGGCTCCCGTGTTCGTGAAACAAAAAAAGTTGAAAAAGCTCCGTAACAAATGGTCGTGAGGCGGGCGCTGCTCGTGTCGACCCAAATAATTTTTTTTGAGGTTTTGTTTCACAAACTTTTAAGTGAGTGTGTTTGGAATTAATTTTCCTTTTTTTTATTTGGCTAATCTTTTTGTTTCGTAGATAAACATAGTAGTTCTAGCGTATTGTGTAAGTAGCTGAACGAGGATGACGCTAAAAGCACCTCATCCTAAACGGTTTGTGAGATAGGTCGTCAAATAATATTACTATTCGAAATACCAAATGCATTATTTGAAAGCTTTCGCCTACTTAAAGACTACTTAAAGTTTTTTCACTGGTGGTAGGACCTGTTGTGAGTCCGCGCGGGTAGGTACCTCAGCCCTGTCTATTTCTGCCATGAAGCAGTAATGCGTTTCGGTTTGAAGGGTGGGGCAGCCGTTGTAAAAATACTGAGACCTCAGAACTTATATCTCAAGGTGGGTGGCGCATTTACGTCATATATGTCTATGGGCTCCAGTAATCACTTACCACTTAACACCAGGTGGGCTGTGAGCTCGCCCACCCATCTAAGCAATAAAAAAATAAAAGTACTTAGCATACGGCAGGTCTCCGTGCTACAAATGAAACAGTTAATGGTGTAGTTTCTATTTTACTTGTTACTTCGCGATGGTCATGGACTTCAGCAATGTCAGGGGCAGAGCCAAGCCGCTGCCTACTGAGGGCTCACGCCCGGCTCTCGGTCTCCATGCGACACGACGCGGTGCAGTCCCGGGGCAGCAATGATCCCGCGGTCGACATCGCACTATGTCGAGTTTTAGGTACCGGTGTGGTAGTAGTAGTGGTACTAATGTTACTAATTAATATGTGGGACATCTATTTTTTGCTTTTATCCGGAGTGAAGGCGAATATCGCTAGATAATTTTTTTACACAACAATGTTGTCAGTTTCAGTAAAAGCCTTTTGACAAAAAATAAGTATGTTTGTGTGTGTATGTATGTGCGTGTGTACAGTAAAGAATGTCGCTAAGGTAAGTCGTGTGTAGTCCGTCTTCAGTAAGTATCAAGTGACGGCAATGAACCTATTTAAATAGGACTCTATCTAATATTATTTGACTCTTTGTCTCTCGTCATGGTTGTGAGATACTTTTAGTTTGGAAGCAGTTGAGTAGTTTTTGAGAACGAACGAATAGAAGATGAAAACTAAAAAATACCGTGCCTTCAATACAATCAGTGCCTTTAAATAATACATCGGAAATAATATTTTTATAATTGTTATGCTTACGATCACTAGTTTGGTATCATACCTACAGACTAACTATTAAAATTGTGAAGTAATGGTTTATTTCTATCTTTAGGCTGACTTAAAATATGACAACGGGGGTTATAGAGCAATTGGAAAGTTTGAAAATATTTAATGTAGTGTTATTACGCAGGAAGAAAACTGGATAAGTTCATACTGACAGGAGGCGAACTGTTTTCATTGCTCTGAATGGGAAGTTTGTTTAAGTTACATACGCATCTGTGGCTGCATTCTGTCACTTTAATGACACGTCGCCGATATACATGAGCGCCGATGACGACTTACCATCAAATAACTATACTTGAGACCTTAGAGCTGATATCTCAAGGTAGGTGGCGTATTTACGTCGTAGATATCTATGGGCTCCAGCCACTTAACACCAGGTGGGCTGTGAGCTCGTCCACCCAAAAAAAAAGTGTTATGTACGCTCTTCTTAGCGAAAATAAAAAAGGACATACGTTGCTGTTTTGAGAAAATAAAAATGTTAAATTGTGATCGATACACACATAAAACAGATCAAGAGACTGTTCATTGCAAAAATATAAATCACAAAGAAAGCCGTAAAATAAATTAATAATATCTATTTTATTTTATTTTTATTGCATATTAATCCAAGTGGAACAAAAACTGATAAGAATTTTGTGTTTAATTATTTTCCACACACAAAAACAAATTAGATTCCCGATTCCTTGGCATCTCTCCCACACGAAACTAACAAAACAGCCAATTTGCAGGCATCGAAAAAACCTGAACGTCAAAATGTGACGTAAAACGGAACGTCGGATAGTAGAGCGTAAAGGAACGCACCGCGGCAATGGCGGCCGTTGTATCGATCGAGCTCCGCAGTCGGCGGCCTCACGTCGCCCGGGTTACGCGCGTCTCCGCAACACAACCGCCGCTAACCTACAACGCTCGCTGACAACGAAACGACTCTATGTAAGTACTATACACACATCTATGTACACCATACAATTTTTAGATTAATTTGTTTATTAATTTATGTGTGTTTTGTGACACTTTGCGGGTTTCAAGTAATTAGATTAAGCGTTGTGTATAAAAGAGTACGGTAATGAATATGAGTCATGTAGACTTTTACAATAGTTCATTCGTGTTTATTTCTTATATTAATTTTTCAGCTGTATTATAAAAAAATTTTAATCAGCTGTTTTCTTGATATTTTTTAATCAAAGTCACTATTCATTTTTGTCTGCTATTTCCAAAATGTAAATTTTTTATAACTTTTTGTATTAAAAATTTAAATTAGGCCAGATTTTTGGACAGTATTATTGTAGTAAATACAAAACGGAAACACTTTTTAAGTTTTCACGTTAATCTCTATTAATATATAATATAATATATAGAGTGCTCTATCCTATTTATTTGAAAGGTTTCATCGGTTGTTTTTCAAGTTACAAAGTTACATAACATTACAGTTAAATAACGACTCTATATAGTGAAGTGTGAATTGGATGTACAGCACACTAATATGCATACATATTTATATACTTTACATTACTTTGCATATAATGTTAACGGCGACTCTCCGGTTGCAATGTAGATTTGATATCAGGTATTTGGCTCTTGATTGAAAACATTGTGTGGACCGTCCTTTCGATTGTATGTATGATTTGGGTTGGCACCAGCATGCTTACTTCTACGGCGATCCTGCGAACAAGGAGGTAGGATCCGATATTGCAGCGCAGTTGAGACCCCGATCTAACATTTTATATATACGGATCCCGGTAGCCGCTTACCATCTGGTGGGCCAGCAGCTTTTCTACTCATCTATAGCACCAACATTACGTTCTTAGAAAATGGAGGCTGAAGTTTATAGCACTCTAATGTCCAGATTTTATTGATAGAGCAATCATGCTGCGTGCAGAACGTGGTAAAAATGAAATTTTGCTTTTAATTAGTAGTGAAAAAGCTCTCTGCCACGAAACAGTCATAAGCTCGATTCGGAGGATGAGATAGTCGTAATTATGAAGGTATTGAGATGACTTTAACGTTGAGGTCTCAATGTGGTCTCTGTCGTTGACACTGTAGTGTATACACTTGGTGATCGCTGTCTGCCGGTCGTGGGTCATACCCAATCCTGTAGACCCAATGGTAAACAGTCGACGTCGTCCAAAACACGTCATTACGGATCCTCCTGATCCATTGACGGTGCTTTTAGGTACCTCAAGCACCAGTCACCGTCCTCGCCGAACCTGTCGCTTGCGACGATGGGCTTGACGAGTGAACTAACCCATAGACACAGCCCACTGAGTTTCTCGCCGTATCTTTTCAGTGGGTCGCGTTTCCGATCCGGTGGTAGATTCTGCGACGCACTGCTCTTGCTAGGGCTAGTGTTAGCAATACTCCGGTTTGAGCCCCGCGAGCTCACTTACACGTTAGGGTGAAGCTGAAATAGCCTCTTAAGGCTATCAGCATAGGTAGGATTAAAAAAAAAAATTGTCTGTATGAGATGGTCCGTGAGCTGATCTGTGTGAACTGTCGGTGTCAGTGCGGTCCAGCTCCACTCCGGGCGATGGAACTGTCCAAATGTATTGCAGACCCGGTTCGTAGCCATAATTGCTCTACAGCAGTCGAAATTTTGAATTACCCAAGGCTGAGTCTCGATGTCTTTGTAAGCGTCTTTAGACGTCGTCGTGGCCTAAAGGATAAGACGTCCGGTGCATTCGTGTGTAGCGATGCAACGGTGTTCGAATCCCGCAGGCGGGTACCAATTTTTGTAATGAAATACGTACTTAGCAAAATGTTCACGATTGACTTCCACGGTGAAGGAATAACATCGTGTAATAAAAACCAAACCCGCAAAATTATAATTTGCGTAATTACTGGTGGGAGTAGAATCTCTTGTGAGTCCACGTGGATAGGTACCACGACCCTGCCTATTTTCTGCCGTGAAGCAGTAATGAATTTCGGT